TCCTCCTATCATTTTTTTTCTGCATGCCCTTATGTTTAAAGCATGACCTTTCTGGGTCTCAGCTGAATTTGTAGAGTATGAGGTTAGACTTCTTTATGTTGATTCCCTAAACATCTTAGCATTAAGATGTCTTGTCATTTTCACTAATGCTTAGTTCTCAAGCTGAAAGCTTCTGTTGTATGGATGTGTATTCTTCACATGGCCAAGTAAAACCTGGGAGTCCTCAGAGTCTGTGCGCAAGCCCTTTCATGAGTGATGTCATTCTCAGTCATGGGACTTCACTCTTCTTCTTCTTCTTAGTTTTTGAGATAATATAATTAGAGCATGACTGCCCAAATGTGAGCTGAATGACACCAACATACATGTCAGAGTGAACACTCACCTTTCTTTTTTTATTTGATTATTTTTATTTTTATTAATTACAGTTTATTCACTTTGTATCCCTCCTATACCTCCCTCCCTCCTATACCTCCTTCCCTCCTCCCCTCCCAAGCCCACCCTCCCTCTCCCCTACCCTTGACCCTCTCCCAGTCCAATGCAGGAGTGGCTGCATTGTCTTTTTCTTTGGTGTGGTAAGGCTGCTCTCCCATCAGGGGGAGGTGATCAAAGAGCAGGTCAATCAGTTCATGTCAGAGACAGTCCCTGTCTCCATTACTATGGAGGCCACTTGGATACTGAGCTGCCATAGGCTACCTCTGTCCAGGGGTTCCAGGCCATCACCATGAGTGGTCCTTGGCTGGAGTACCAATTTCAGAAAAGACCCCTGTGCCCAGACTTTTTGGATTTGTTGCTGTCCTTGTGGAGCTCCTGTTATCTCCAGTTCTTACTATCTCCCACTTATTTTATAAGATTCCCTGCAATCTGCCCAAAGTTTGGCTATGAGTTTCAGCAGGGTAGAGTCCTTCAGAGACCCTCTGTGGTAGGCTCCTATCCTGTTCCCTGTTTTTTCCCTCCTCTATCCTCTTTGCCTTTCTGAATGAGGATTGAGCATCTTAGCCAGAGCCCTTTTTCCTGATTAGCTTCCTTAGGTGTACAGATTTTAGTATGTTTATCCTATATTATATGTCTAATATCGACTTATGAGTGAGATATACCCTGTGTGTCTTTCTGCTTCTGGCATACTTCACTCATACTTTTCCAGTTCCCACTATTTACCTGCAAATTTCATGATTTCCTTGTTTTTTTATTGCTGAGTAATGTTCCATTGTGTAAATGTACCACAATTTCTGTATCCATTCCTCAACTGGGGGGCATCTGGGCTGTTTCCAGCTTCTGGCTATTACAAATAAAGCTGCCACAAACATGGTTGAGCAGATGCCCTCGTTGTATCCTTGACGTCTTTTGGATATATGCCTAGGGAACACTCACCTTTCAATGATAGCCTCTTTGTTAGCTTTGTCAAGACTCAGCAGACTGCTATTACAGCTCCCTGTGCTTCCCACAGTTAGGGTAGAAAGGAAGCCCAACAGAAGCTAAAAGACATACATATTTCTCCTTTTCAAGGATTGTTCCTGTTCTGAAAATTGCTAATACCTGAGAAGAATTATTTAATATGTCTTGTCCAGTTTTAAAGTTTTTTAACAGTAGGAAGGCAGATTTGGTAGAAGTAACTGTATTGTGGCTGGAATAAAGAAAAAAACCCATGGATTTATGATTAATTATTCATAATATACTATGAGATAACAATTGTGAACTAGGTACTATTATTACAATCCAATTGTATTAAAAATTAAATTCAAGCTAAGTTGTGAGAAGAACTTTTGGAATTTTAAATGCAGGTGGTCAGATTCCATACTCTCGTTTTGGTTCAACATACTATACTATGCAAATACTATACTGTGTCTGTATCATAAAATTATGCCTATTTTCTTTATGACATTTATCATAATGTCTATTTGTTCATATATTTAGTATATTCATGTAGTTTTTACTTTCTGTTTTAAACTTCTGTTGATAAACAAAGAGCACACATTTTCTGTTTATAGACATCTGTCCATTGTTTAGCAAAAGAACAGGTTTCTGGTAAGGATTTACTTAAACCCTTGTTGAACTAATAAATAAGTGTATGCCACCAATTTTTATGACAACACACCTGGGGGATACCCAAAAGATGATGTGCTCACTAGAGGTTTTACAACTATACGTAGAAAATAAAATTGTACAATAAGAAAAGTGTTGCGGCAGGATTTGTGTTTTTGATAGATGAGTTTGATTAGAAGCCAATCTTGGAGACCTTTTAGTGAATGGTGGCTCCGGGTGGATGCTAGGGCACAGCTGATGCATCCTGGTGTCTAGGCATCACGGTGAGCTGGGGTACCAAGCGATGTCTGTGTTTGCCAGCTTGTGTTTGTTAGAAGAAAAAGAAAAGAGCAAATTTTCTTGTTGTTTCTAGAGCCTTTGTATCCCATATTTAGCTAACAATACATGCTGATTGATTTTTCAAGTATTTGTGTTGATTTTAGAGCCACATAGTTACAGTTTTTGCAGTCTACATGACAAAGCATATGCATTTATTCTTATCAGAAGCAGAAGTACCTGATGTTTTTGAGGCCAATTTTTGTGTTTAACAAGATAAAGATATGCAGTAGATATTCCATTTACATAAAATTAGAGAAAGATGCTTGAGCAAATGCAAATAAATGTAAAAAGGAACATTTTCATTTTGATTCATGATTAGTATCAACTATCATGATGTGGTAATAACACAATACAGAATTCTGCAGCGTATAACTAATGGTGTGAGCTATTTATAAACAAAATACCCTGATTAATTTATTTCATGAAAGTGTTTGTTTGATTATATGTCAGATTCTGTTCTTAAAGCCTCGGAACTTCGCAAATGTTTTCCTATGAAAATTATGTGTACCGTCCCTGTTAGTTCTACCCAGGTGACATGTACTGCAAAATGGCTGCTTCCTCTTCTACATTAGCAATTGTCTGAATTGACCATTTAATTCCTATTGATTCACATTTATTACTTAATGTTTAGCTTTTGAGACAGAAACACAAACTGTTTTACAGCAGGAAACAGTCTACTAAAGTTAATGCCAGCATATCAAGTTATTCATGATGATCACCATGATTGTGTTTCACCCCAGTAATTTCCAAGGTCTTGAAAAAGCATCTTTATTTTTAAAACAGAAAATATCTTACTCTAAACAGTGAGCTGCTTCTTGCCTCACCAGGAAGAGTAGCACCTTATTGTCCTCCCATTTGAATTGCAGTTTCTTGCTTCTTTGTTCTTATCCCATATTTTAATAAACTGAACAGAATTTTTACGTGGCCATACCATTTGAGGCACTTTCATGATTAAATGTGATGTAAAGCCTCTTCTATCCATTCTGACACATAAAAGATATTTTTTTCACAGTGGTTGTCCTTTTCATGTGTGATAAAGCATGAAGGAGGTGACACATAATTACCATCTGCACATCCCAACTTATTATTTCTTACATATACCTACAGATTTTCTAGAAAACTTGTCTCCGTTGGAATGAGTTTCTCACATTGTACTCCCAAATAATCCTAACATTCTAATAATTTTGACATACTGAAATGTATTTCCACTACTGCCTCTTTCAAATGGAAATAGGACAAAATTCTTTGAAAGGCCATGTATCCTGTTAGTGGATGGCAATATAACAGCATAAAATGTTGCTAGATAGACTAGTGAAGAAAGAATTTTCTTTTGGGGTCAAAAGAAATATGCTTTTAGATTCTGCAGTTTACTTACATGGGATAAATTCTTTCAAGAAGGTTACCTTACCAGTTTCAAAATGCTTTTGTTGTCTATAGGTCCTTCATGTCAAGTCAAGCCCACTCTTAGAGCTGTGAACAGTCTGGGCAGAGTGTTTCTCTCCTAGCTGATGTAGTTTATAATGGACTTTCCCCATGTTGGCATATCTCAGACTCACATACACTCTAATATAATTATGGTGACTACTAAGATAAAAAGTATTTGGTTTTCACAGTAATGTTAGTTTTGCCATTCGTATACAAAAAGAAATGTAAGGATGTAAGATCAGAAAATGGAAAGCACAAAAAGATCTCAGTAAATCGCTGTAAGCCAGGCAAGACGGAACAATCCTAACTTCAATGAAAGGGACAGGTGAACAGTCCAGCACAATCCACCCATCTCTGCTGCAGATTAAAATGGATTATTCACCTCCCCCTGAGGGGGGAGCAGCCTTACCAGGCCACGGTAGAGGACAATACAGCCAATTTTGATGAGAACTGATAGACTAAGATCAGAAAGGAGAGGAGAACCTCCCCTATCAGTGGACTTGGGGAGTGGCATGCATGCAGAAAGGGGAGGGAGGGTGGGATCGGGAGGGGAGGAGGGGGGCTTATTGGGGGATACAAAATGAATAAAGTGTAATTAATAAAATAAAAATAATAATAATAAAAAAATGGATTATTCATAGTGAGGGCAAGACCTTTGGGGAAGAGACCACGGAGCAGGCACATTTTTCTAGCCTGCAAGGTAGGCTCGGTAACCATGGAGATTCTAGGAATCCACATGGTTCCAGAACCAGACAGAATCCTCCAGGGTACAAACATGAAACACAAATCTTTAAGAACAGAGATAGCAATATTTCCTGTCTTTGAAAAGCTGTCTGAAGAGTGTTGGCATCCTTTGAATCAACCATGCTGGCACTACACATCCACAGTCCAAATTCCTGTCCCCCATCTCTTCTGTGATTTTACAAGCTCCTCTTTCCCTCACCAGCACCTCTCCTCCTCATCTTATTCTCAGTTTTCTTCTTCTCCTGATGCAGTTCAATTGCCCTTGCATTGTGAATAGTCACTTCTGGGTCTTTTTCTTCCTCTAATAGTTGAGATTCCTCTTTGAGGGCTTCCTGATTTGCTCAGAATCACAAATCAGGCAGTGTGTAATTTGTAAGTTTTATCTTTAAATTGAAACACAATGGAAGGTCACCAGGTAAACCTAGATGTGCACACACGGTTCTTACCTGTGGACCTTTGGTATTTCATTTTACCTGTGTGCGTGGTTCAGGGCAAGGTCCGGCTTCCTCATACGTAGGTAGCATGTGACGAGCTTTGTCTCAATGAAACTTGCCACGCTTGCTATATCTTCTGCATGTGCTTCAAAGGGCTTCCCGAGAGCTGCCCCTTTGCTGCAAAGCTTAAAAAGAACAACACTTTAAGACCCTTGGTACTGCCGCCACACATGCTATCTTTTTAATAAGCAAGATGTACACATGCACATGTAATTCTTCAGAACTATGTAAAATCTTAATATTTTGATTATAAGTTAAATGGTTCCTGTTCATTATTGTGTGACTACAATAAAATGTGACTTTTTTTTTAAAAGAAAAAGGTTTTCTATGAAATATTTTAAAAGTGTGATAGATACTGAAGAGTGCCATTTGCAAAGAAATGTCTGTTTTAAAATGAAGGCACACAATAAGCAAAGGTATTAGGAGAAAACTTGGCATAAATCATATTAAATACCAGTGCTCTTATGAAACCCAACGGAGCAATGATCTAGCTCACTATCAAGTTTGATTTAATATAATAAGGGGTATCGGAAGTAAACTCCTAGGAGCCATTAACGTGATTGGTGATTAATTTGAGCCTGAATCAGATTCTCTAGGATGTTACTCAAAGAAAAGAAGTGAAAAATTTATTAGGATTTATTGGCAGAAGCCACAGTATCTGAGAAACATGGCAAGAATATGGAATTCTTAATAAAAATTCCAGGAAGCTAGTGGTTTCTGGGCAACATAGACAAACTGCAGAGGAAGAAAATAATTAATATTTGGGGAGAGCTACAGACATTAATAAGTGTCAGTAGCATGGCAAGTGGGTCTGCACTTTCCTCCCTCTTAGAGTTTTCTACTGTTCTTGTCATAGAGGCTGATGGGGAAGGGAAACCATTGGCTTTATTCAGGCTACCTGCTTCATGGCTCATTTGTATCTTTATTTGTACTTCTGCAGGAGGAAATGTTCTTACCGGAGGTAACAAGACATATGGTCTTATACAGTCTTGAGTCTGGTTTGTTATTTACACTAACAGTATTGCTAATTTATTTTTAAAAATGCACAAAGGTGCACAATTTTATAAAAGCTATCTTTTGTTCTAAAGTATTTTTTTTTTCAGTTTTATCCAAAAATACAAACACCGAGTATTCTCTCTTATTTGTAGATTCCAGCTTTGAATGAACCTTTAGATAAGAAGTAAAAAGGTGCATGGTCAGGCTAGGAGCTTTTAGAGGGATATGGGGAAAATGGGGTGAGGGACTCATACTAGAGAAGGAGGGGGTGATGCAGAGGGACTGGGGGGAGAGGAGGGATCAATAACACTAAGGGGGTTTGATAAAGCCATTAGGAAATATTTTATGATGACTTAAAATACATATATTAAATGTATGTATGTAAGTTTATGCATATATATGTATGTATAGTTTGTTATGCCATATAGGTGATAAAGTTTTCCCACAATAGCCACAAGCTAACAGAAATCCTAGTGCCAGGCCTGGGAAGTCTCTCTTCCAGTCATAGGTCAGGAGAGCCCAAAAGACATCAGAAACAATGTAGGCCAGTACTGTTGCCCTTGGTCGCCTCCCTGACCTTGAAGATAGGCAATGTTGAAGATTCCATATACTTCAGACATAGGACTTGAAAGAATCAAGCTGGGATGACCTTGAAGTGCCCTCCCTGAACATCAGCTTTCATGGCATTGGAACATGCTATGGAAGCTACCAATGGAACAAAGCAGTTTATTGTCCTATGCATCCGGGAAGTTTGGGAAGCACGGAAACGGCCAGCCCATGAAGATAAACCCTGGGATGCAGACTTTCGACTTTGATGTAATAAAAGCTGCTTTACTGGGTTCAGTTCTTACTCAAAAGGGAAAAATTGATGCTTGGAAGTCTAAACCTAGTCAACTAGTAGAGAACCTGCCACAGACACTTTCCTGAACTAGTGTAAGTTCTAAATACAGACATGCCAAGCTCCTATCCTCTTTAAAGATGCTCTCTCTCTCCCTTTTTTCAGCAGAGCCTTCCTTAAGAAATATACAACTGGTCAAAAACAGGGGCCAGCTGAGTATGCACAACCCCAGGCGATACATCTCTAAGAGAACGTACTGTGTACTGCTCAGGGAATATTGTAAGAGATGGAGCAGAAACATTGTAAGAACCAGAGGACCGGGGCATCTGCTAGGAGAAAGTGTCGCCTATATAAGATAGGGAAGCTACACTTATGAAATATCAGCAATATATTCACCTCAACAAGACCAGCATAAAGACAGCACCAGTTGATATGCCAACGCAGATAGGGGGAATGTGAGAAGGCTCATCCTAGATGAAGAACTGCAAGCAGTTAACAGCTGCCAAGAGAGAGAGATTCAGTCTTCTGTAGGGGGGAGTCCCATGATAGGTTATCCATTCCCATATGATCAGCTCTAAAATATATACATATGAGCAACACTAAATGTACTCAGGGCTATATATACATATATAGCTTTATGTATATGTACAATGTACATGTATAAGTTTATATACATATAATAAAATTTTTAAAGATCATTAATTCGAAAGAGAGCAGGAGAACATGAGAGGAGTTGGAATGAGGCGTGAGAAAGGTGAAAATGCTGTAGAGTGATATTTTCACTCATGTGTGAAATTATAAAAAAGCTAAAACAAACAAACCCAAAATATGCTATTTGAAAAAAATGTAAACTGCAGATGTTTTACATTCCTCATTAAAATTGCTGGTTAACTGATAAGGTATCTTCTTTCATAGATTTATATTGTTTTTAAAACTCTTTGCCAGTTTGATGGGTCGAAGATAAATATTTATTCAGTAAGCAAAGGTTTACTGACAGAGGGCCTATTCCTATATGCCAGGCGAACATTACTGCATTCGTATTTAGATATGAATTAATTAGGCCTTTGTCATGAAGTTTGAGTGATTGTAACTCTATGTGATTTTTTTTCTAATTCTTGTTCTTGTCCTCTTAATTTTTTTTTACTCTTTCTCCAGCATTCAAAACTTTTTTATTTATCAAAATTTATTCACTTTGTATTCTAGCTGTAGCCCCATCCCTTGCTCCCCTACCAATCCCACTCTCCCTCTCTCTTCTCCTCCTGTGACCCTCCCCATGATGGGGGAAGGGCTCTCTTCCCCTTCCATCTGACCCTAGCCCATCAGGGCTGCATTGTCTTCCTCTGTGGACTGGTAAGACTGCTCCCACACCCATACCCCTTAGGGGAAGATGATCAAAGAACCAATCAACGAGTTCATGTCAGAGACAGCCCCTGTTCCCCTTACTAGGATACCCACTTGGACAATAAGCTGGCATGGGCTTCATCTGTGAAGGGCTTCTAGCTTATCTTCATGCATGGTTCTTGGTTGGAGTATCAGTCTCACAAAAGACCCCTGGGCCCAGATTTTTAGGTTCTGTTGCTCTCCTTGTGGAGCTCCTGTCCTCTCCAGGTCTTTCTATCTCCCCCTTCTTTCATAAGATTCTCTCCTCTCTGCCCAAAATTTGGCTCTGAGTCTCAGCATCTGATTTAATAATATGCTGTCTATGGTAAGCTCCTATCCTGTTTCCTGTGTTCTCTCTTTTCCGATGTCCATCCCATTTGACTTTCTGAATGAGGATTGAACAATTTCTTACATAGGGTCCTCCTCCTTCCTTGGCTTCTTTAGGTGTACAGATTTTAATATGTTTATCTAAAATTATATGTCTTATATCCACTTACAAGTGAATATATGCCATGTGTGTGTTTCTGCTTCTAGGTTACCTCACTCAGGATGATCTTTTCAAGTTCCCACCATTTACCTGCAAATTTCATGATTTCCTTGCTTTTAATTGCTGAGTAGTAATCCATTGTGTAAATGTACCACGATTTCTGTATCCATTCTTCAGTTGAGGGACATCTGAGTTATTTCCTGATTCTGGCTATTACGAATAGAGCTGCTTCTAACATAGTTGAGCAAATGTCCTTGTTGTATACTTGAGCGTATTTTGGATCTAAGCTGAGGAGTGGAAGAGCTGGATCTTGAGATAGCACTATTCCCAATTGTCTGAGAAAGCATCAAATAGATTTCTAAAGTGGTTGTTAAAGTTTACATTCCCACCAGCAATGGAGGAGGGTTCCCTTTTCTCCACATCCTCTTCAGCATGTGATGTCACTTGAGTTTTTTATCTTAGCTATTCTGATGGGTGTAAGATGAAATATCAGGGTCGTTTTGATTTTCATTTCCCTGATGACTAAGGATGTTGATAATTTCTTAAGTGTTTCTCTGCCATTCGATGTCCTCTATTGAGAATTGTCTATTTAGCTCTGTACCCCATTTTTTCATTTGTGTTACTTGATTTGTTGTTGTTTATCTTCTTAAGTTCTTTATATATTCTGGATATTAGCCCTCTGTAAGATATAGGGTTGGTGTAAGCTATCGTTTTGTTCTGATAACAGTGTCCTTTGTTTTACAGAAGCTTTTCAGTTTCATGAGGTCCCATCTATTGATTGTTGATCTTAGAGCCTGTGCTGTTGGTGTTCTGTTCAGAAAGTTGTCTCCTGTGGCAATGAGTTCAAGGCACTTCCCCTCTTTTTCTTCTAAAAGGTTTAGTGTGTATGGTTTTATGTTGAGATCTTTTATTTACTTGGACTTTAGTTTAGGGCAGGGTGATAAATCTATTTGCAGTAGACATCCAGTTAGACCAGTATTATTTGTTGAAGATGCTATCTTTTTCCATTGTATGGTTTTGGCATCTTAGTGAAAAATCAGGTGTCTATAGGTGTGTGGGTTTATTTCTGGGTCTTCTATTTGATTTTGTTTATCCACCATTTTTCTTCTATTCCAGTACTATGCAGTTTTTATTACTGTTTTTCTATAGTACAGAGTGAGATCAGGAATGGAGAGACCTCCAGAAGATCTTCTATTGTAGAGGATCGCTTTAGCTATTCTGGGTTTCTTGTTATTTCATATGAAGTTGAGAATTTTTTCTCTCAAGATCTGTAAAGAATTGTGTTGGAAATTTATTTGATGGGAATTGCATTGAATCTGTAGATTGCTTTTGGTAAGATGGCTATTTTTACTATGTCTGTCCTGCCAAGCCATGAGCATGAGAGATCTTTCCATCTTCTGATATCTTCTTTTATTTCTTTCTTC